TTATTATTATTATTATTATTATTATTATTATATTATTATTATTATTATTATTATTCTAGGAAAGGTCCCGAATTATGAGGCCATGTCTATGGAGGCCTGTTGGGAGGACATCATGGTGTTGGGACCTTGTTTGGGCTTCTGAGAAGTGGCTGAGTCAGAGGAGTTGAGAACAGTTTGCCAGCTGGGAATAGGAGGGCAGAGATGAGGCAAACCAAGGCCCTAGGAGGCCAGGCATGGCCAGCATCTGCCCCCCGCTCCCCTCCTGTCTTTCTTCCCATCTGCCAAATTTCTAAGCAAAAGCATTTTTGCTCAAAGAATGAAATAAGAGTTTTAGCTCCAAGGCTGGTGACATGAAAGTCACCTACTTACTGGATTTTGTTCTTCTTTCCTTGGGGATGATGAAACTTCTCCACCTGCTAGACCCATGAGTCTCAAAGGATATAGACTTCAAAAAGCAAACTGGTCAGCGCGGCGGCGCTCCCGCTCACTGGCTGAGCGAGGCGCGGGAGCAACACCGAGGGTTGCAATCCCGTTGCCGGTCCCCGGTCCGGTACAGGGGCAACACTGAGGGTTGCGATCCGGTGCCGGACACAGAAAAAGACAAAAGACAAAAAAAAAAAAGCAAACTGGTCAGCGCGGCGGCGCTCCCGCTCACTGGCTGAGCGAGGCGCGGGAGCAACACCGAGGGTTGCAATCCCGTTGCCGGTCCCCGGTCCGGTACAGGGGCAACACTGAGGGTTGCGATCCGGTGCCGGACACAGAAAAAGACAAAAGACAAAAAAAAAAAAGCAAACTGGTCAGCGCGGCGGCGCTCCCGCTCACTGGCTGAGCGAGGCGCGGGAGCAACACCGAGGGTTGCAATCCCGTTGCCGGTCCCCGGTCCGGTACAGGGGCAACACTGAGGGTTGCGATCCGGTGCCGGACACAGAAAAAGACAAAAGACAAAAAAAAAAAAAGCAAACTGGTCATCACTAAGCAAGTAAAATATAACTTCATTTGTTCCAGTTCCACCAGTTACAAGTGTATGTTCCTCCCAGAGTTTAATAGGCGATCCTTAATAAGCAGAACATGTGGATTATATGCAGCCTCTTGAAAAGTTTGCAAGTAATGCTAAAACAAGTCACTTTTAAAATCCAGAGCTTTTGAAATTAATAATTGCTAGAAATTTCCTGAGCATTTCAGTAATTTCCATGTCCAAAAATTCCTTTTTAACCAGTGTAAGTACTTTTAGATTTGTGAGAGATTATTAAGTGTGGTAAAACCATTTCATTTTGTTATATTTAATAAGCTCTGCTCAGGATAAATATTAATTCTTAACTGTCTCTGTAAATCTATATTTCTGGCTGGTGCTACATTACCAAAATGACAGGATGATAGTGGCAAAAAAGAAATATATCCATCAGGTTGGCCTCCCTATGCCACTGCCCACTCCATTGTCCTTCCTCCAGTTTTCTAAGAACATGAGGTTTGACTCTGTCCGCAAGAGAAGGGTAACACCTCCTCATTGCTGATGGGACTGTCATATTGAGGAATGCAGGTGAGCCCAAAGTCTCTGTGGGAAGTGAGGCTTCATTCTTATTTCTGGGGCTGACAAAACATGATGGAACCAACAGTATGAATCAGGGCTGCCAGCACTCACTGAGTCCTTGCCCTGTACTAGACACTGCTAAGCACTTTATGTGAAATATCTTACTTAATTAAATACAGGTTTATCACTGCCAAAGCTCACGTTCTTAACCATGAATCTAGACTTTCTTCTGGAAGGTCTGAGGGGCGGGGGTTAAGCAATGTCAGACTCTCAGAGCTGGGATCCAGAGGAGTCCCAGACACATGGCGGCCCTTCCCAATTATTAGTGTCTCCCCACCTCCACCCCCAACAAGTGCAATTGCATCATCAACACAGTCATCTGGGGTGATACTTGACTTCTGTTGCCTTTCTGCTCTCTCAGCTTACCTTGCAGCTGAGTAACCTGCTTCCTAATTCCTTCTCCTTCCCATGCTCTGTCCATGCAGTTGAAGCAATACACCTGGGAAGCCTTATAGCTGCCCAGGGCTACATCTTTCCCATCTCGGACCACGTGCTCACCATGAAGGATGACGGCACCTTCTATCGTTTCCAGGTAGGCCTGCTGGCTCCTCCTCATGAAGAAACTTTTCTT